GTGTCTATTTTGGCACCCTCTGGGGATTCTTCCTGTACAAGTGTTAGTCGTGTTATTTAACAGAAAACTCATCTTGTTTTCGTTTAACAGTCAATTGTATCACTCATCAATAATCTTTGCCATGATAAACGTAAACAAAGGCTTTTTCTGCAGCACGCTGTTAATAACTCGTCTGACAGATTAAAAATGCATTCATAGAAATGATCAATCTCTCTGCTTACAGTCTACTTCATAACAGCAAAAGAAAACCACACAAAGGAGCTTCAAACTTCTCTTTACATTTACTTAACAGCAATCAATAAATCAAAAGCTCTGACAGAAAATGGATCTGTGGGTGAAAGGTCTTCCAATAATTTCATCCAAAAGATCATTTAATTTAAATGTTTGGATGGTGAATCTTTTTGTCTGTTCACAACTTTATCTGCATGCATTTCACTTGCACCCATTGTGCATGAACGCAAGCCCCGTTTCCACCAAGCGGTCCCATTCAGTTTGGTTCGGTTCGTTTCCACCGTCAGAAGTTGGGAATGGCACCAAGATAAGCGATCTGTACCATCCTACTTTTTTGGTAACCTTTTGTTGGGGTGCCAAGGGTACCGATCCAACCCTAAAGAGTCCCTTGTTATCTGTGTCCCTGTTCTTATAGAACATTTAGTTTCATTAATAGCGGGCTACACTGTGTTACGGCTGCTATGATGTCACACTATTACACAGCTGACGTGGCTATATCCATCTGGTTTACACACTGCTTACCAAATAAGGGTACAGTTGGCTGTGGAAGTGCAAGCAAGATCAGGGTTTTCTGCACCAAACAGTACCAAACTGTACTGAACCAAACCTGACTGCTTGGTGGAAACGGGCAAATATTAACTTCAGAGAGAGAACGGTAGGTTTGATAGTTCGCGATGACAAAGATGCTTTGCATTGCTCTCCATATCCCTCTGCCTTGGATTTATCCTGCATACCTTCAAAAGAGCGTATACACATGCTGTTTTTATTTTTCTTCTTAATTTGTCTTTTACCCCACAGTTAAAAGGATTTACAATTTATTGACAAAATACTTTTTTGGGGAGGTTATGACAATTGTAGGCTTCATTCAAATTGTTTTATCACGTAAAAAGAGCGGGGACTTTGCAAATTGGTAAACATCAGCTTTAAGCACTGTATATATGGACCATTTTGGTGAACTAGTATGGGGCTGTGTATATAAAAACAATGGACTTGTGCAATGTTAATTACATATAGGACTGTATCTTTTGTGTGTGTATGATGGGGGGGGGGGGGGGGTCATTGATAAATAAACCATCATCAGATAATGAAACTACCAGACTTATTCTTCCCTTTAAGGGAAGAGGCCCTGAAATGTGTCTGAAATATGATTCTTCTTTTTTTTTAAGAAGTCAGGATGTGTCTGATGTCTCCCATTAACACACCCCCTCCTGTAATCCTCCTAGTGTAAGAGTATAAGTGCTGCTGAAATTTTTATTTAGAAGATTAAAACACATATTATAAACCTCCCCCAACCTACTCATGCATGCATGTTTAGACTCAAAAGCTCGCACCAGCAAACTCCCAAATGTGTGGTTGTGAGGGGAGGGAACCCAGAGCAATTAAAGACATATAAAATGCATGCTGGATGCTGCTTTTTTTTGACGGCTTTTAAATGACAGTTATTCGTTTTGTTGTTGCATGTGCATCGACAGTGTGCGTCCCTGCAGTGCCAGGCCCCTCTTATCAGTATGCTGTGTGCACTTCCTTTCTAAACATGGCCGAAGCTTTTGGGAGCCGTGAAGCTTCACTGATAAGATAACAGACAAAGCCGGCTCTCTTTAAGGAGGGCATGAAATAGAAAAATGGGAGATCCCTCCCTGCGGAATAAGATGGGAATAATAGCGGGAGGACAGCACTGAGCAATCTTGTGTTTGGAGGATGGATTTTAATTAAACAAAACAGAGACAGATATGAAACAAAAGAAAATATGCAAAAACATGCTGCAAAAAGCTGCCACTTCTGGTGAGTTAGGTGAAGATGATCTGCAAAGCATATTTAAATACTTCACCATGGAAACAGGCTCCATGATTAGGGGCAAATAGGCAAAACTGCTGCAGCACTTGAGATTGAGATGATACAAATTAAGGCAACTCTGGACTGTTTCCAAGGAGACGAAATAGGCGGAGGGGTTAAAGTCCAACCTAAACACACCTTAAAGCTATTTCAGTGACAGCAGAGCGGAGAGTAGATGGGGGGAGGGGAGGACGAGGAGGAAGGAGGGGTGTTTCTGACAGCCGAGCTCCACAAATAATCGCTAGACCTGCCAAGATGTGTGATCAGAGTTCAAAATCCCTCTATATATATGTGTGTGTGTGTGTGTGTACGCCTTTCATTGTTCTGTGGTTTCAGTGTTTCATGTCTCCCAGCGGCCTCTCACACCTCAGCTCGGCAAAAAAAACAACACATACACAAAAGAAGAGAAGGTTTGTAGTTCAGTTCATGCATTTTTTTCTTTATTGTTTCTCCTCTGAGGATTCATTTCCATTTAAAACCCCAACACCGCTTCTTTTTTTTTTTTTACTTTGTGACATCATCATCTTGCAACAAAATTCCTCAGAAACGACAAAAGTGACATTATGGCTGTGACAACGAGGTACATACCTCAGGTTTAAGTTTTCAGATGTTTCTTTTTGGGTGTTCAAAGGTGCCAGAACATGTGAAAACGACTACACGTGTGTGTCAGAGGGTTTGTTCAAATGATCCCACGCTATCTTTATTTTATTTACCAGCGAAAAAAAAACATTCAGATGAGTTACATTTTTACCTCGTCTGCATGTTTAAGTGTCGGAGAAAAATAACGTATTTTCTCTCTTAACCAAAATGTAAATTGTTCCTGACTAAACTCAAAATTTTCAAAACTGACAATGAGGCAATTTGTGTCAACCATAAACTGTAAAAAAAAAAAAAAAAAGATGGACGACACAAAAGTTCCCCGATAGTGACTCCAAAAAGTGTATGTAAGCGCATGTTATTGGGGGATATTTTCACTTATTGTCAACAGGAATGACGTCCATCTTTTTGTACAGTCAGTGGTTTCAACATTGACTTCAATAGGAGCTCTAAAATTCTGCCCACATGTTGGTCGTGTATGACTCCTGAGAAAGCTCCACCGGCTGAGCACTGAGTTAAGTTTGAGAGCTTTGAAAAGTCAAATGAACCGTTTGTATGAGATTGTCTTCATCATACTGGGAACTTAGTTTCACAATTGAAGGTGCTTCATTTAAATGAATCGTAGATACATTTCAGTTTGTATAAAAAAAGATGAATGTAGATGTTGTCATCTAAATGGAGCTATAACAAAGTACTTAAACGTTGACAATGTTATGTTTATTAAAGCTAATTTCATTTGAAGAAATATTTATAAAGTAATCGCTTTTGGCATTGGCTCCAGAAAACATATCATCAGTGGCCTTGGTTCAAAAATGATTAGAGTCTATTCATCAGCAGCTGAACTAGAAAAAACTCCTAGACATGTCCCGCATTAAAAACCACATAGGTCATGTTCTAAACACGACATTTCCTTTTACCTTAAAGATTTACCATTAACATGTTTCATGTTGGAGGATGAATCAAAACTACTGCTCAGTTTAGAAAAAGGTTGTGGTATGGGTTACTGAAAGTGAGCTGGTTATGTTCACTAAAATCATCAAAATTATTTATATTACGCAACTTTAACAGTAACAATGTTCTGATTTGCCAAGGACTCGAACCCCATTCCCCTGGCTTAAGGTCTAGTGTTGACTGGCAACACATCAGTGCAGGACATCCCTGAAAAACGGAACTCATACCCACTGGGTCCTAAAATAAAGGATGAAACAATACTGTCTTCATTTCTATTTTCAAGTCTTCTTTGATACATCATTTGTTCATTTTGTAAACGGTGGCCACAATTAAGAAATAAAGCCTGTTTTTGCTAGCCATAATTAGCTTCCCAATTCACACAACATTCATCGACAATTACAGATGCCCCTTGTTAAAAAAATCTGGTGCTTGAGTAGCTGATTCATTTGCATTTGCTCCCTGTAGCTCCACCCACTTTGACCAAATATGGTCATTTCTGGCTAAAAAGAACCTAGATGGTGACAACCGGACTACAAATGAAAGGCCTTAAAGTTGTAGTACATACACCAATGGCTCATGTCAAAGTGGCTAAGCCTACTTATTATGTACAGTCCAATAAAGATTACATTTATACAACAGGTCTCATCGTCTGAGAGATACTCACTGAATGGAATGAATTAATACTCTTTGTTTACAATTAGCAGAGCCATCGTGTTTCTGTTTTTGAAGAAACCGTGACAAGTAGATAATGAGGGACATGAACCTTTTCCTTTTATTGTCCTTCTGTTGTTGAAAATCTAGTTATTACCTGAATAAGTATAATGCCTTTTAAAGCTTGAATATAATTGTTGTTAAATCATTTTCCAGACATTTGAAATGATTTGTTCTGCCTAAAAAGTGAAAGCAGAAGCTGAGGCCTGCAGTGAGTGAAGGCAGCGTGTCGGTCGAGTCGTTAGTCATCAGGCTATAATCTCAGCAGACATAACTGGTCAGCTAATGTCATCCACCCACACTCTGCCTGTCCAATTTTTCTTCATTACGCAGAGAAAATACAAACAGCTTTTAAAAAAAACAGTGACACTTAAGAAAAAGTTGGTAAAACAGTCAGAAAGTATTTAAAGTATTCAAAGCACAGTAGAAGATTTTTAGTTCAGGCACTTGGCAAACTTCCTCTGTCATTTAGGACTGATTTTTTTTTCTTCTGTTTCAAGTCCTTTCCTTTAATTCTCATCAAAGTGGTGATTATGCTAATGTGTTTCTATATGTGCCGTACAGTGTGTGTGTGTGTGTGTGTGTGTGTGTGTGTGTGTGTGTGTGTGTGTGTGTGTGTGTGTGTGTGTGTGTGTGAGAGAGTTAGAGGTGAACACTGTGGAACAAATAAAAATGACATTGATTACATCTCCAGTCTTCAAATGTGTGTGTGTGTGTGTGTGTGTCTGTGTGTGTGTGTGTTACATTTTTCTGAACACAGACTTTGCCTCTTAATAAATACACAGAGAAAACAAACATTTACATTCAACTTAAACAAACAAACAATCCTTTTGTAAAACAAACACTATATAAACAGTCATAAAGCCTTAAAGAAGCTGAAAATATCAAAGACCACTTCAGAATGTACAAGTCTGAGTAAAACAACACAAACAAAACAAAGTTTTCTCTCATTGTTTGAAATCAATCCCAAAACAGAATATTCAGTTTCATTTGAAATCTATAACCACTTTTATTTTCCTCAACTTCATCTTTCTGTGTTTTTTTAAATCTTTATATTGGATGATCCGCACACGATCATTAGTCTTTGAAATATATATCGACAGGGGCAATTAGACATTTTATTGTAAGACTTTGTTTTATCATTTTGTTCCTCAGTCAGTTAGAGAGATTGATCCAAATTTAAAATAAAACAGGCTTTCGGTCTTGCTTTGCACAAACCCTGGAAACAGGGGGAAACTATAATAGCTTGGCATCAAAATGTATTTAACTGTAGGTATTTTCCCCATGATGAGAACATTTCTAAAATACCTGACAGTTTCATTAAAGGAACAGTACAGCTTTAATGAAAAACAAGTATTCTGGTTTTTTGTCATGGGTGTGGTTTCAAGATCTATGTGCCTTTCATCTGCACAGGAGAGGAGTGGATGACTTTCACATCACGTGAGCGGTGGGTCAGCCTTGTGTAACTTTTTTCTGCTCACCTGTGTGTTTCTCTCCTCTCTTGAGTTGTGATTACCTCCAATAACGTTTAGCACTGATAGAAAGGCAAAAACTGTCATTTTACTCAAAGTCTTTGCCTTGCTGCCTGGCATCTTTAGCGTCTCAGACATCAAGTCCAGCCTCTTGAGAGACCCCCCCCCCCCCTTGAGAGTTTTACTTTTTAGCGTGAAACAATTCTTGAGTCAATCCAATAATCTGTGATGGTGACATTGTCATCATTCATGGATATTTAAAGTTATAAACCTTCTTTAAATATACAGAGTAGGTTCTGTTTGTAACGTTTTTAAGCGTTTTTGTTGTATGAACGCTCTAACAGCTAAGAAAATCTAAGGATTTTTTTTATTTCTATTTTACACATTTTGAACCATAAATAAATATACCTTTAAAAGAACAGTGTATATGAATTGACAGATTGCACAGAGACATTTTATTGAGGAGTTTTTGTTTTTTTTGTAGTCAGAGTGAGTTTTTAATTGAGTCCCTGAGGTGGAGGGACGTTTCTTTATTCTGTTTTAGGGTGGATTTCAACTACAAACTCGTTTGTCATGAATGGAGACCCTTCACAGTGAAATATTAAATCAGCCATAACAACTACAGACAATGTTTAACACATGACATCTGCTGGAAACCTGTTGTGTTAATATCAAACGGCAACATTTCAAGTTGAGATTTTTAAGGTGCATTTTTTTTTTAAAGGGTTTTGTGATCCCTAAGTGTTGTTTTTAGTGGTAAGGAACATGGGATCATAAGGACATATGTACAACACATAAAAAACAATCACAAAATACAAGGTCACAAGGTTTTTGCATGATAACATGGCGTCCAAAACTGACAGATCATTTCAGATTCCACTTCAGCTAAAGGCAACAGTCAGCACCATTAAACAGTGTCTCTGCTCCGATCCCAGAGCCAATTAAGAGGTGTGAGATTCCTCCGTCAGTCCCACTGTTCTTCACGTCGCTCGCTGTCAAATCGGTCAGTGGGGAACACAACAGGCCCCCGAACCACATCCTAAATGAATCGCACTCTGAGATAATCACATAACCGGCAATTAACTCCCATTTAATACCCCACCTACCTACCCACCCTCTTACGGTACAACTACACATGCACATGTGACACATCTACACACCGATCTCATTACACAGACAGATGCTGATTCCCAGCAGGCACAACGCACTATGAATTATGTGTTAGTTATCACAATTTAAGCTTAACAGTGATGCTTACACTCTTTTTTTTTTCCTTTTTCTTTCGAGGGGAGGGGAACTTTGGTGAGTTACACGCAAACACTGAACGCACACAGTGACATCATTTTCAGGGACGTGAAAAGGAGAGAAAGGAAACCAAAACGGTGAAGAAAAGATTTTCAGTTCAAAAAGATACAAAAGACAATGTGAAGTTATCTTTAGCTTTGTTTGGTTAAGCGTGTTATGGATACCTGATAAAAAATTCTCTTCGGACTCTTCTTGCTTTTTAAGATATTTGAATAAATCACTTGAATATGAGGTCCTTTGCATGCATTTATGGAATGAAACCCTTTCAGTTCAGACCTCTCTCTTCTATTAGATGATGCTTTCTGTGCAGAGAGAGCCACCAGATTCTCCTCTTCTCTGACTCTGAAACCTGAAGTACAGAATATCTTGCTTTCAGGCTGAAAATGGAACATTATCAAATTGCACCTCCAAAACAGAAATTGCACTCATTAATGCAGCCTGTAACACTGCAGACGTTGCACTCCCCTCCACCCTTCCCTTCTGATGTCTAGCCACTGATTCTGGATCAGCTCCAGCCTGTTGGCACTGTGTGTTTGGCACTGAGGGAAGATTTGTCCACTGATCTGAGATCAGATTGGCTGTAACGGCACTGAGTGAAAAAAAAAAAAAAAAAAAAAAAAAAGATACCGCTCACATTTACGTTAGCCAAGATCGACACCCTTCTGACAGTCTGCTGGCTCATAGTAAACCGTAGATTTTTAAATACCAGAGCACCAATGAGGGTTCAGAAGTCAGAACTAATGCACCCTTCAACAGGAAGGCAGGAAGTACAGTTAGCACTGATTTGGTCATTTGAGTGATTCAAAATAAAAAACTCTGATTTTAAAGTTTAAATTTGGCAAAATGTGTTTAAAAGGAGACTTAAATAACATTTAATTTTAAAGCTGTTTAACACTTTTCAATGAAGTCATGGAAATGATGACTTAGTTTCCCATTAAATACAGGGAAACATGGAGATAAAGTTCTGTTACTTTACTTAAAGTCTTAATGTCTATAAGCAAGCAATAAGTAAGCATTACACCTTGTCACTTCAATAGTTCCATCATTAAATTATTACAAACATTTGTGTTTTATTGAAGGCTTTTGGTTTATAAAGTTTTGTACTCATTTTGTCAAAGAGTAGATGACTGTTGCTGTAAAGACTCAGTCAGTCAAGGTTAAGACATTTGTCTAGCACACAGCCCAGAATCTGTATTCATAACTTTGCCTGAAAATGCTTCTACACCCTAAATTCAGATCAGAATGTTGGCACTAATTGGAATTCATTAATTGAAGGTGAAATCATTCAGTGTGCATCACTAAATTAATTAGTTCTAGATGACATACTTTTTTTTCTGGGAAATGGCCTTGGAAATGACTAATACCATTTTTAAAGATATCATTTCACTTTAACTGGAGGGTTCAAACATCCTAATGACACATCAGGTAGTTTATATCAGCCTTCACTTTCGAACAGTCCGACCGTTTATATGATATCTTAGAACAAATTCAGAGTAACCAATCAAAAAACGTTCCCACTCAACTTTAGCCCTAAATCATAAATCAGTCTCATATCACGGCCTCCCTGTTACATCTTTAACGACTGTTCACGGCAGCATCTGTTTCCATCATGTTTGATTTAAAGTCGGTTTTATTCCTTTCTTACAGTTAGTTAAGGTAACACAGTCTGATAAAAAATACCCGGTTAAAGCACACATTAGTCAGAAACAGTCAGAATTATAACTCAAGATAGATATTTATCACTGGAACCTGAATGATGGCACATTACTACTGTCCATGGGTATAAATACAAATAAAGAGAAAATCCATCAATGCCCTCTGCAGGTTTTCTCATTTGCTGGTTTTAGCTTCAGGTTGTTAACGTTAATAAGGCTTTCTTTAAAAAGTTCTTCCTATTAAGGCTACAATAGATAATTATAGATCCACTTTAATTCTTTGAGTTTAGCTCATTTATTCTTTAAATTACTTGCAGATGTTGGACACTGCACCTAAGTTGAAAGATTGAATAATTGACCAAGGAAACCTGAAATCTTCCAGCTTTCAAGACTCAGCTTTCATAAACCTTAAAATGTTTTGGCCCAAATAAGCAAAGTTTAATCCTTGATGTCTGGACGTTTCTTGTCATAAAGAATAAACAAATCAGTGCTTACTGGAAACACCTAGATGTACTTTTAAATAGAGCTATATAACTGAGCCTGACACAGATTTAGCACCGTCGTTAGAACTGAACACTTAAACTGGGGTTGGCTTGGCTGATCCTGAATCAGTGGCTTTCTCATCAGATGCAAAAATAGAGTGTTACATAGAGTAGATGTGGCCTGCTAGACCCCTTTGATTGGTACTCCAAAGAATACTGCAAGTTAAAGGTCAGAAAAATGAAATAAGACAGAAAACATCTGCCTGGAAATGTACAAATACAGCAAACGTTTAAAAGGAGGTTTGGTGATATGCAGTCACAGAAACTGGATGCAAGAAAGCCAAGAAAAACCTGAAGAAGTCTGATGGGAGGAGGATGGTTCTGGTGGTGGGGCACTGTGGGTAATGTAGTCCTGTTCACATGGCCAGAGCCCGGGCCTTGGCGGCTGCTGCCTGTGCCCTCTGCAAGGCTCCCTGGCTGTTCTCTCTCCTCATCAGCTGGTTGGTCTCAAACAGGCCCTCATGGCTGACGCCGCCGGGGCCTCCGTCAGAAAACGTCAGCACTCCTGGACCAGACAGACTCATTTGAACTTTTTATCCAAGCGAACAGGAGCTGAATGCACTTTTTGAACATGTTAAGAAATGCTGGAGACACAAATGTGGACCTTTGTGTCTTTAAGGTTTGGGCACAGAAAGATTCCCACATATAACCCCACATGAAGTGGATTATTGTCCCTAAAACACATCATGTCTTAATGTTGCCTTTCAACCAAAGTACATAGAATTCTTGACTTTTCAGGGAACTATTAAGTTTCTTCTGCCTGTTGTAAAAAGCTTGAGGTCTAGACCATATCATTGGTCCATCTGATGTATGCTTTCTTGTGATGATCCATTGATACTTGTGATGCTGCAGTTTAAAAAAAAAGTTGTTGCGACAAAATGCTGCAAGTCTTGAACAATCAGAAATGTTCAGTGCGGCAAACCTTAACTCCAAAGTTCCTGTACTTTTGGAGAGACTATTCCCAGTACAAGGACGCTTCAGGGGGACCTTGCTTCCTTAAGTGAAAACACATTGAGTTCCCCCAGTAGATCTGAGTTCCTGGCAAACTTACATGCGGGATAGAAAGGATTTTACTGGTAGCTGTTTCTTTTATTACCTTCGACAGAATGAGGCTAGCTATTCCCCCCTGTTTCTTAGCTTTATGCTAAGCTAAGCTCACTAGCTGCTGTCAACAGCTAAATATTTACTGTACAGAAATAATCATCTAACTCTCACTAAGGAAGCAAATGTATATTTCCACAAAAAAAATAGCAGACTGTGTCTTTAAATTTAGGAAAAGAAAATGCTTTGGTATGAATAAGTCTCAAAACACACAAAACACCTGAAGTATGATTGAACACGTTTGTTCAGTGACCTTAATGAAATCTGAATCCAAGACAGAATCCGGAACTAACTACGCAGTAAACCATACGCTTGTCAAATCAGATAAACAATGGCATCCAGCCCATTCAACAATAAAAAAAGGTTTCTGATTGCGAAGAGCATAGTTTTGTATAAATCTCATTCTGTTTGAATCATTCATGAAAATACTGAGAGTAACTATAAGGAGTCAAGTGAGCAGTAGGTTTTTATTTCTTATCATAGCTTATATTTAACAATATATATCTTTGAGCTGCATATGAAATCATAGTTTCTAACACTTAAAGGAAGGTTTTATAAATCGGACTGCTTTTTGTCTGCTCTGGTCAAACCGCACAACACATGAAACTTTCGTTTGATTAATTCCCTGGATTAAAATATATCTTACTCGAAACTAAGTCTCACAATAATGTTTGTGTTTGAGCCCCTTAATCTATTGTCCTTTCCTTGAGTTCTTGTTCCCTTTAAACACTGGGTTAGAGTTCACTGTTACCTAAACTTTGGTTGATGTTTAACTAAAGACAGGAAACAAAACTTATAGGAACGGCATTCTCTTTTAAAAACACCTCTCCGCTCTGATTTCAGGGAGTTGAATCTCGGTGAAACTGAACGGATCTTTACGTCCCACCTCTATTTTTACAGGCACAAAAATTAGCCTGCTGTCACAGTGACACATTGTTCTGCAGTCTTCAAATAAAAAGGTGTTGATTACCTCCAGAGACTCACGGTGCTGACACACAGGGGACTTCAGAAGAGACAATTATCACTTCTTCACTGTTTAATATAATGAAAAAGTGTTTAAAATGTTTGGAATCACAGCAAAGAGCAGAGGGAGGTAAACCCAGAGAAATGTGAGACAGAAGTCTCAAAGCAAGTGTATTTATAGAGCTCATTTCAGCAACAAGGTTATTCAAAGTGCTTCATCTCAGAACTTAAACATGAACTGTTCCCTTCTGGGGGAAAGACACAAATTTAAGGTATATATATTTAAAAAAATAAGCTGCCAAATGTTTAAAGATTGAGGTTCTCAATGCTAAGGAGAAAGAGTTCATTATGAAGTCTTACCGTATCCATCAACACAGCCGCCTTTAAACTCGCCCTCAAACCTCATCCCATCATAGCGAGTGAAGACGCCAGAACCTTGAAATTTGCCCTGCACAAATTCCCCTTCATACCTGCAAAAAGATCCACATAAAAACAAAAAAAACCTTTTACAAGTAGAAAAATAACTCCCACAATGCTACAGTTTTGATGCATTTAGAATTGAAATACAGTTGCAGGTATGTGAACCCTTTGGAATTTCTTATTTTCTGATTAAATTGGTCATAAAATGTGTTCTGATCTTCATCTAAGTCTCAACAATAGACAAACACAGTCTGCTTAAACTAATACCACACAAAGAATTATATGTTTTAATGTTTTTATTGAACACAACATGTAAACATTCACAGTGCAGGGTGGAAAAAGTATGTGAACCCCTAGGCTAATGACTTCTCCAAGAGCTAATTGGAGTCAGGAGTCAGACAACCTGCAGTCCAATCAATGAGACGAGATTGGAGGTGTTGGTTAAAGCTGCCCTGCCCTATAAAAAACACACTCCAGTTTTGAGTTTGCTACTCTCAAGAAGCATTGCCTGATGTGAACCATGCCTCGCACAAAAGAGCTCTCAGAAGACCTACGATTAAGAATTGTTGACTTGCATAAAGCTGGAAAGGGTTACAAAAGAATCTCTAAAAGCCTCGATGTTCATCAGTCCACGGTAAGACAAATTGTCTATAAATGGAGAAAGTTAAGCCCTGTTGTTACTCTCCCTAGAAGTGGCCGTCCTGTAAAGATGACTGCAAGAGTACAGCGCAGAATGCTCAATGAGTGTCAGCTAAAGACTTACACAAATCTCTGGCACATGCTAACATCTCTGTTGATGAATCTACGATACATAAAACACTAAACAAGAATGGAGTTCATGGTGAGGACACCACGGAGAAAGTCACTGCTGTGCAAGAAAAACATTGCTGCACGGTTGATGTTTGCAGAAGAGGACCTGGATGTTCCACAGCACTACTGGCAAAACATCCTGTGGACAGATGAAACCAAAGGTGAGTTCTTTGGAAGGAACACACAACACCATGTGTGGAGAAAAAAAGGCACAGCACACCAACATCAAAACCTCATCTGACTGTGAAGTATGGTGGAGGGGGCATCGTGGTTTGGGGCTGCTTTGCTGCATCAGGGACAGATCGCTATTATCGACGGAAAAATGAATTCTCAAGTTTATCAAGACATTTTGCAGGAAAACTTAAAGCCATCTGTCCACCAATTGAAGCTCAACAGAAGATGGGTGATGCAACAGGACAACGACCCAAAGCCCAGAAGTAAATCAACAACAGAATGGCTTCAACAGAAGAAAATACGCCTTCTGGAGTGGCCCAGTCAGAGTCCTGACCTCAACCCGATAGAGATGCTGTGGCATGACCTCAAGAGAGCGATTCGCACCAGACATCCCAAGAATATTGCTGAACTGAAAAAGTTTTGTGAAGAGGAATGGTCCAAAATTCCTCCTGACCATTGTGCAGGTCTGATCTGCAACTACAGGAAACATTTGGTTGCGGTTATTGCTGCCAAAGGAGGGTCAACCAGTTATTAAATCCAAGGGTTCACATACTTTTTCCACCCTGCACTGTGAATGTTTACATGTTGTGTTCAACAAAAACATGAAAACATATAATTGTTTGTGTGGTATTAGTTTAAGCAGACTGCGTTTGTCTATTGTTGAGACTTAGATGAAGATCAGAACACATTTTATGACCAATTTAATTAGAAAATTCCAAAGGGTTCACATACTTTCTCCTGCAACTGTATATAAAGAACGTTGAGCAGAGAAGGTTGAAGGACACCTTTCAAAAGCACGAGAAATGCTTTTATATTTTCAGTAAATTAAGTGTTAATAAGAATTATTTTACATAAACTATTTTGAATTTCTTCAAAAAGCAACGAGCCATAGAAAGGCAGCACTAAATACAGAATTGAGCAAAGAAAGTTTGAACTTCTGTTGGGTAAATGTCTGAAAGATAAAAAACATGGGGGGTGTTGCTCATCTACTGATCTTCAGATTTCATGTACCTGTACAGCCCATCAAGTCTTTCTTTTGGCTACATCTTGTATAGTTTATGCAGGTCACCTCTTATAATAAAAATATTATAATAAGACGTTTCTAAAGTTAAAGCGACCAAATTTGAATTGGGGATTCACTCTTTTCTGTTTCTAAGGGTCAGAGAGTCACATCCTTTAATGAAATTCTTCCATGATCAATACTTTTTTATACTCCAGAAGGAAGGACATTCATGTAAAACTTTTTAAATGTTTGGCTGATTAACTAACTGAGAAGTTAGTTAGATTTTTTTTTTAAGCACACACTATCTGCAGATCTGTGGTTTGTTAAAATGATTCTGTGGGCTTCAGGGCGACGGAGTGAATTTTGTGCTTCAGTCTGCTTAGTTTCTGTTTTATCTGCACTGGTTCCAGTATGTTTTCAGTACTAGGGACTGTAATGTGTGCTTTATCTTATGCAATTATTATTATTTTTACAGCACATTTAAAAACAAAAGTTTACTTAACTCATGTACACATCCCACTAACAGGTGTCACTGATTCTGCGACCATAATCATCTCCGGCAAGTTTCAAAAGTCGAGCAAAAGCACATTCAGCTTTAGATTCAAGACTTGACTTTGGAACGCTAAAAAAAGGAACACCTGAGGACTTGAGGGTGCCGGCTGGCTAAGTGATGAGTCTGTAGCTTTATGCCAGACCCATGCAAGCTCTAAAAGTGATCAGTAAAATCTTAAAATCTATTCTAAAACTAACAGGAAGCCAATACAGGGAGGCTTAAATGGGGGGCGATGTCATCTGTTAACACCAGTAAAAAGCCTAGCAGCTGCATTTTAAACTAGCTGGAGGCGGGAGAGTGATTTGTTGGTAATTCTGGAAAAGAGGGAGTTGCAATAATCCAGTCTGGAGAAAATGAAGGCATGGATGATTTTTCTAGGTCCCACTGAGAAAGCATTATTTAAATTTTGAAGATAATGCATGTTTGATAGAAACATAACTGCAACTTTTTTTATGTGTGGTTCCAATTTAGGTCACCAATTATTGTGGCTTAATCATTTGGCCAAGTGGCAGCATTTTATAGAGAATAAAATCGGACCTAAAACTGAACCTTGCGGTACTCCATGCCATATTGTTACCATATTGTCATTATATTGACAGTAACCCATCAGTGGTATTAAACTTCTGTAACTTAAGGTAAAACTCTTGAAAAATTTTTTTAAAAGTGATTTGATTTTAATACAAAGATCAAATGCAGGAAATCCAACAGACCTGGAGCTGTCGGGGAAGACAAGCACCCCACACCCATTGAAGAGTCCATTCTCAAACTGTCCCGTGTAACACATTCCGTCGCTGAAGGTCAGCTGACCCAGGCCGTGACGCAGACCTGCAGCAATATCACACAGAAAGCAAGTTTATGAAAAAAATCAGGGGACAATCCTTACATAAAAAAACAACAATTATGATAAACCAGAAGTGTTAAAGCTCAAACGCCACTCTTGATTTCGGTCCTATAATGTGCACTCTAAGAAAAAATATGAAAGGTGTTGTGCATGCAGATGTTAATGTGTAGTATTCATTTTAAAAAACTTCATCACCAATTGTGCTGCAAATGTCGTTGCAATGGATCTTTTTTTGATCTTTGTATCCTCATACACTAAACCATTGGTTCTCAACTGGTCTAGCTTCAGGACCCACCACCAACTCCTTCATGAAAAATCGCAACCCGAATTCAGATATCTTTCAAGGGCTTCATAGACTTTTTGACACCATATTTTTTCCAGGCACACATTAGCGACCCACTGAAAATGGCTCTGGGATCCACTTTTGGGTCCCGACCCACCAGTTGAGAAACACTGCACTAAACAACATAGCACATGATCTGAGACCACAGTGTTGTCATAAAAGCAATTGTGCATTTTAAAGTATAATTCTGAGGAAATCAAAAAATAATTGATTCGAGAAAAGTATCATAGTGCATGACCCGTGTTTGTCCACGCATCCACAGCCTCAGACCACCTTTTCATTGTTTTTGGTTTGGATTTTATAAAAGCCAAACCTACAGTTAGTTTTTTTATTTCTTTTTGTGAGTTTATTTGTTGTGTAAAACAAATAAACTTAACTAAACCATCCCAGCAAACTTCATCAGCTTCTTTCTAAAGGTTTTTCTGTGGAAATATACTTCAAATGGAATACATTTTGTTAAGATTAATGCAAAGAGAAACAGAAGGCAGGTAAGTTAGTGTCCATACTTTCATACTTATTTCATATTTCTTAACAACATCCATGAGACTTAGTTGGAAAGCCTTCAAATCTTTGAATTGTCCTGCTAAATATAAAAATAGTATAATAATATAAAATCAGTTGTGTGGTAAAATTCACAACTTTCGGCCTTTAACTATATTCTGTATTTTAGTCATCTGTGGTAAATTCATATACTCTCTATTTCATATATAATAACTTTGTTTACTATGTTAATCCACATGCTTTCTGTTAAAGCTGTAATGAAGTTATATTTTACAAAGACAAGCTTTTCCTATGAGCTACTTAAAACAGACTCCAGCACAGAGGCGAAGAATACAGGACACCAAATACAAAAATGAGTCTATTTGTCCTTCCAAGATCCTCCAGCTTGCTAATAAGTGGATACTATAGAAGCAATATAAACCTGAGATATAATACTCATTCTATATAGTGACTACTTCAACAGCAGATGCACATACTTATGTGTGACCTACTCAAACAAAAACAAACCCTTTTACAGGAAACCAGCACAATCGGCTTGCAATGCTCAGAAATCGTGCCTGTATGGATTCTGTCCTTGGAAAAACAACAGATCTGGAGGTTAAGTTTTATTTTTCATGTATTCAACTGGGTCCAATGTGTTTATTTCATCAATGGAATTTTTTAATAAGCAAATTGGTAAGGGGAATACGAGATAGAGAGATTTACTTGAATCTGAAAAAAGTTTGATCCTCCTATAATCAGAGTCTAGACTTCCAGTGAAATGGTTCTCAACAGTAAACGTGACGCTTATCTGTAAAGTGAGTGTAGCGTTCATGACCGAGGCCAGCCATCACTCAAAACTACAGTGCCATGGGTGATCGAAGACAAATTATGATCATCCGAGACAAAGTGGCTCAAAGTACATGAAGTTAACAAACAACTGATGGAGATTTATGAGGCCAATTTAAGATAATGTAATAATCAATACAGCAGAGTCATTAAACAACTGCCAAGTAAGAAATATGTTGTTACAGAGTACAATGTCTGAACAACAAAACCATCTTAAAAAAACTAACAGTTACTGTGGTCCTCAAAGATGAGAGATATCTTTATTGTCACTGTACAAGTACAACGAAATATTGTTGGAGCAAGCCTGTAGATGCCTGAAGTGGGAGAGCTCCGAGTCGCAGCGTCTGTGTGTGCCGCCATCTTGCCCAATACAGCTCCAAAGGAGGCAAAAGGAATGAGAACCAAATCACCTTTGGAATGCATTTCTGGATTTCAGTCCAACAAACAGCTACACTCAGTCAGGCACTCATGGGGTGGGGGGGTTAAGTTTTGTTGTGGTCACCCATGTGAAAGTGAGACATCTACTGGACATCTGCATATATCTTTAGACATGTTTTATATTTAAGATTTGATATTCTGTGTGTGTGTGTGTGTGTGTGTGTGTGTGTGTGTGTGTGTGTGTGTGTGTGTGTGTGTGTGTGTGTGTGTGTGTGTGTGTGTGTGTGTGTGTGTGTGTGTGTGTGACCAAACACTCTTATTACTAATTCTTCCTGCCCATCGTCTGCTATGATTGTTAACTTAAAAGTTGCATATCACCTCGTGAGACTTTGCAAGATTTCCAGTTTTGAGAGTCCAGATTCTGTGTGAATAGAAACTTTCAGTGTTTGGTGTGCTTTTCATGTCATATTGTTACTCTCCACACATTATAGACACTTAACTGTTCAATATTTGTATTTATGCGTGGGGTCTCTCACTTTTGCAACATGCTAGGTTTAAAAATGTATATTTTAATCTGGGCCAGGCTAAAGGTATTCCAGAGATATCAGATTAACAAGGATTAATTGAACAGCATCAACCAATCATCTAGGAGAAAGCATCCAGAAATGGCATACAGTGTTAGTTACAGCAACTTATTGTGGCTTTTGACTTCCACTTCCCTATTTGACAAACCAGGAGTGATGAAGTGGAGTGGTTAATTTTGGCTCATTCGCCCCCGTTGCACAGTTAGTTACACTTCCCCCCTACTGCATGTGTAAACACAACCTCCAAATCATCCTTTAATTTTTCTAACTGACATTACAGCTTGATGTACAAGGTTAGAGTAAATTTGCATAAATAATTCACACATTAAAATATCCAGGCCCAGAAAAAACAGGTTTTATTTCACCATGAATCCTAAATCAAATATTTCCTTACAGTTTTGGGAGAAGTGTGTAAGTAATTTAGGGAAATGAAGAGGTTAATAGCATCATTATTTTAATTAAGAATTCTCAATTAGCAAATCACAGATGGTGCTAAATTTCCTTTTTCATATTCAAAATGTTCCCACAGAGGTGAGACCTAATTTTCCCTTAAATTTAGCAACATTTTCAGAATTAGCAGCATGGCAACAGAAGGCGACAGGGAGGGGAAGCGAAGAGAAGAGAGCATTCCTCCCTTCTTGCCAGGCTTTATTACCAGGCCCAGAGGGAATTAGGAGAATAACTGGATGTGAGGCACAGTTGGACAGGGGCTCGAGAAGGTCCTAGGTTCCTTGAAGCAGCTGTAGGCGAGGAATAGGATTTACCGTGAGCTCGCCAAGTAGCATGGATACTGATGGAGGGGAGAGGAGTGAGGAAGCAGAGGATTGGGATTTACAGGAGGGGGAGGAAGAGGGTGAAGCGAGGGTGAGCCCAACGAGTGTTGTCCCTTTGCTCCCAGCTAATGGCAAAGTAAATTAGGCAACCCATCTGTCAGGGCTGCTTAAAGTGCTGCTCTCTGCCTAATCTCAGCAGGGTTTTCACGGGAGATTTGGAGATGAGATTTGGCCCAACAAAATCTGGTTCTCTACATTCCATTTTCAAAGTCTTTTCCTCCCTCCCAAACATCCTGCATCCATATGGGCAGATGTGTAAAAGTGTTTGTGTGTGCACGAGTTTGACTCAATTAAGTCTATATGGCTATGAAAAAAAAGGGCCAACAGGGACTTAAATCCAAACTCTTTAGCCCGTGGGGAGCCCTTTAAAGAGGATGAGAGCCCCTGAGGCGAGAATTTCACGGACGAGCTGCTGAGTGTCAAAGAGGCCGTGGGCATCTGGACGCAATGCCAAAAATGACATCTTCAATCAAACATTAGAGGAGTATTGAAGTAGGAATGGTGTTATTAAAAATAATTTAATTAAGAGGCAGTTTAGATAGACTGGATGTAATTATAAACTGACATTAGTACTATCACTAAGAAGTCCTCCAGTAATTAGAACAATTAAAAATGAACTGGATATAACTATCAGTATAATTACTATAGAAAAAAAATAGACCGCCTGCAGGAGTTTGATTGCACATTTTGGTAACTAAAAACAAATTTCCCAGGTATCCATATCATTTTCTTTTTACTGATTGTGATTTCTGAATTTTTTTAAAGTCTGACCTTCCAATATCAATTTTGGCTTATTTCCATTTCTTTACTGAAATAACTTATTGATGGTAAAAAGAAAAACATTTTGTTTTTGTTTTCTTTTACGTTAATAATAAAATGTTGACTGCTAAGTAACTGTTTATTTATTGTTTTTAATCTTCAAAACTGCACCTGGATCCATGAGAATCTCTAATTCTCAATCAGACAAATCTCCCTAGAAATGCCAAACCCTTATTTCCTGTATTTGTGTACGGTGTTTGTGGCTGCAAATAGTTTTGATCCAGTTTAATATCTGTTAATACTCAATATCATTAATCTATCATATTTATAGTCTCACAGCAGGACAAACCTTTAATCCCAGGCTTACACACTGAGGTTTTATCATTTCAGTGTTCCATCAAAACCACAGACTGTTACAGGAATATTAATTAACAAAATCTTAACATACTGTACTGCCCCAGCCCTGAGTAGTGAAATAGAGATGGTGGGAGCGCATACATATATATATACGGACAGTACAGATGCACTTTGGGCAGGGAGTTACTTTCAGCAATTAGGGGTGAATGGTTGGAAACGATCTGTGTTCGTCCTCCAGTTTGTCAATGCTTTTTCTCCTGTGCTGATGGAAACCTCACATCCTCACTGCTGACAACTTAGCTTGAGTGTGTGTGGCTGGTGGGTTAATGATTGTGTCGCTGTGCATTGTGGCATGAAAGTTGTGGCTCATGTGTCTTAATCGAAACAGAAACAGCTATATTTGTGTGGACCGGCAGGTCACCGATCACAGCCAACAGGCTGAAAATTGGACGATTCCCTTCATCAGCCGGTCAGTCAGTGCATTTAGCGTCGAAGTTTAAAATTCTGGTATTGTGACAACCCTAGAATAAACAGCCAGATATACAGCACAGATGTGGCAAAGTAAAAAAATCTGCCAGATGTCTATAAAATATACACTCTCAAAACACTGAGTAGACTAAATCTGATTACAGAGAATACACACTCAGAATAAATACTGTTACAAGAATACACTATGAGGTAGCACAGTATCAATAGAATACACCATATACTATACACATTACTTTAAAGTGGAGGTACCTACATTAAGACAAACAGTTTACTTGTCAGAGAAGGGACAGATTGTCTGCTGCAGTAAGGGTCAGTGGACTCCTCTCTGTCCCTTCAGATCTGATCCCTCCAGTCTCTAATCTGTCACTCAACTCCTTTGCAACGCCTCTCTCTAAACTCGTGTCGGGTCATGGTCTCCGGCTTATTATGGTTCAGCTGAATTTGTCCTGCTTTCATGGCAATCAATAGCGGTAATGCATAGATGTTAAACGACTGCATGGGCAGAGTACAGTTGTAAATGGCCTCTGCTGTTACAGTTGATGTACCCGCCCGACTTCCTGTAACCTGATAGCCCCCGGTGCCTGTCTTCAACCTAGCGCTCCTCTGAATTATTCATGTGACACCATAGACCTCTGCCCAACACACATCTACATGTTTGTGTGCAAACAGTGGCCTGACACACATGGACACAGAGGCGCAACGCACGACACGCATCAGTCTGTGTTCATGACTACATCTCCTTTCACACACACACACACTGAAACACAAGTATTGATTCTTTAAATCATCTTGTGTTAAAAATGTAACAGAATATGTAATCACACATCATATGAAAATATTTCTGTCATAGAGAAGGGAGTTAAAGAGCTGGAAAATAAATTCCCAGGTGTGCTTCGGCTCTGTTTACACATGGAGTTCTAAAAGGTGGGGAGTGCAACTTAATTAAAAAGAGATTAACGTCAGGTAAAACAAGCTATTTACAAGTAAATGTGGAAAGAGGGAGCCATCTTAAAGGCATTAACATCGAGATATTGTCCAACACATACTTCCCATGAGGGAAACTATCTTGTTTTCAGATTACAAGACATAAGAATTTGTAGGTAAACAGACTAGATGACTGGAAAAGCAACACTTGGATTTTAACCAACTCCCGAGTTAGCTTATTGCTAATGATTAAGAGCTACATGTAAGGGCAACTATGTAACCTGAAATTGATTCGGAGATCTCTCTTTATTTCTAAACTGTTCATTAAACCTAAGCATTAAATGCTGATAGACACAAAAAGGTAATGTACACAATGAGGGACTTACTTCCATCTGCCCATTATTGTTGCTTTATTGAATCTATTTTTCTGACTTTTATTGTTTTTGTCATAAATGCCATGACTTCTGTCTCTATGTGGAGCACATAAAGTTTATGTTGCATTTTGTGTCATATACAAATTCATTTTTCTGTTGATAACATCATACGATAACGAGCTCTAGTGCTCTAAAACCTGAACATAACAGAGTTCACCATAGCTAAACCAGTTTTTCACTTCATATGCAGAGACCATATGTTTCTCCCTGCAGACTCACGCTGCTTTAGCGCCATACTTTTGTTCTTTGTTTAACCTTGCCCTAAAAGTCGTCAGTGTGTCTTTGTCAAACTGAAAATACTGGTTTAGGTAGTGTGATATCCTGTCCCAGCGGGCACTTAAGCACCAGATGGTCTGTGTGTGCATGTATGTACATTTTTCTGTAGTGGCTGACTTCACTGACACATTCTTCTGTCTATTAGCTACAATCTGTTCAAGTGCAGGTTCATTTTCAAGACAACTCGTGCTGTGACTCAAAGAGCAAATACTTTTCTTCTCAGCATCCGTCCGTCAGGAAAACCCTCTGGTCATTCCTTAAAATCTGCTATAGCTTTCTTTTAACACAATTTATATTTAACAACATTTCTGTGATCCTTTTTGTCAGCTGGGTTTGGTCGCATAGGGCTCCTGAGTGATCTATAAGGCTGAAAGCCCACAATTAAATAGGAATAGTATTTCATAGAAACCTCTGACATTTATATTCAGAACTCATGAAACAGCTTCCTTGCTGTTATCCTGTCTACTTAACCCGTTTCTAAAGCAAATCTTGACTAAAATCGATCTAAAATAATTGGCATATCATAATGTGTTGACAACATTTCATGCCAAACCTTAAAGCTTTAAAAAAGCTTCAGGATAGAAGCTAGATCATTTTGGATTCATATGCCACTCGTGTGAATTTTATAACCTGAAGGTGTGCTTTGGGTTTGTCTTTTTAAAAAACTGAAGTTGGGTTTGCATTCAGAGGAAACACACCAAAACAAACAGTGTGGAGCCTTGAGGTCTAACAAACATGCTGGATGCATTGCCTCCCTCATTAAACATTTACAAATCAAAGTTCTCTTTAAAGTTCAAAACATGGATTGTACCCTGAGGCAAAAGATCTATCCAACCAGAATGTGTCATTCATTTTCACACTACTTGTCAGCACTAAGGTGAACACGTTTGATTTCTACATAGTCAAAGAAAGGTAAATGTGTATCCATGTTACACCGTAAGCCAGAGAGACCAAAGTGCTGATGCATGACACTGATTGGTCAGATTTCTCAAGACAGAGAAGGAGGTTGAGGGTTTGGGACTTTTTCTACAAATTAAGTCGTAGAATTCAAGAAAATTGATGTGTGTCACTCGTTTCAGGCTACTGACAGTACAGTCAGCAGTGAATACAAGGAGCTTTAATATTGTACTATTCAAAAGGGTCCACTGTTAGGACTCTGGGACAACTAACGTTTGAGCATTTATTCTAACTATTGATACTGACTAAAATGTGTTAAAATATTCAGAAAACATACACCAGGGTCTCCAGGTTTGAATTGAACCAATCAGAAACCCTGTAAAATATCCGACCGTACTTAACAACATCATAGATATGAAACTTTATCCCCAATCATGAAAATATAAACGTATAGAAGAACTGACAATCAGCAAGTTCTCAACATGGCCTACAGGGTCAAAAACAACATTTAGTTGTATAAATATTTGGACTGGTGTCTGTAAATGCAAATAGTATCTTCACATACTTCTGTGTATTTCTTACAGGGCTGCCCCTGGCCAAAGAGGGGCGGCTGGGGCCTTGAGCAGAATTTCTCTCTCCATTACCTTGGTAATATTTGTCATATAGACATCAGCCCAATTGGTAGGAAAACAATCTTGCAAAAACATGAATTTCATGCTCTAACATAACCTAACATTTAAAGAGACGCTTCATTTGTGTATGAATGCAGACAGTGATGGAGGATGGACAGGTGAGTGAGCAGGTCAGTCTTACCTTCTTTCCATTCACCATGGTACTCCTCACCGTTGGAGTAGCTGAAGGAACCTCGTGTCAGGGTCATGGGTCCTGATGGCACAAACAACAACACGCAGAAATAAAGACCTAAACACACAAGGTTTCACCTTTTGACATGCCATGGATTATTTGCGACTTCTTGAATACATCTTGAGCGCAAAGTTTATGCAGCAGCGAGCCACAGAATACCCTCTTTGGTATGACAGACAACAGCATTTTTTCCCTGCAATACATCCCAGGAAAAGCAAGACACTGCACGACCTAAAAGTGTGTGTGGATAACCCAACTTTGAAATGTGCTGACAGTTTTCCATTGTGACATTAAATGTTCTGTATTATGCCTCATTGGTTGATTAACAAACCAGCATGAGTTCATCCTGGGTGCTGGTTTTGGTTTTATCAGACTATAGCTGATCAGCTCTCCTTTTTTTTTCTGTCTACTTTGGGAAAGGTTAGCCTCCACCTGCACTCTTCTCTGCTTGATTTTCTTCTGAATCAGAAGAAAATAATATGCTAATGCACAATCTGCACAGCTGACAGTGCAACATTTAGTGCTGATTATAACGTTTTGTATGCTAAATACTAATAAAAAATGTAGCTGAACTAGTACGGTAGCTTTGCTAGGTGTAGATCTGCTGCTTAAAACACTGTATAGTAAACACCAGATAGGTCATAAGTAGCCAAAAGCCCTATTCAGAGTGTCATTTCCAGGTGCAATATTTACATCCCTGTGATGTATTGCCTACAATGTGTACGTCCCAAAGGCGTAATCGGGGGGTGACAAAGTGACCCCCCTCTTCTGTACTGTCTTTGGAGGTAGTAACAGAGGTGTTACAGGGGCAAGACAGGATCAGCTGAGCCAGCAAGGGAGCGCAGCGCTGTGTGTGTGTGTGCATGTCTGAATTTGTGTAGATGTGGAGCTCCTGAAGTATGTGCTTCCGCCACGCAATGTAAATATAAAGACTGAGACACCAATATGACGCCATTTCAGAATCAATGTGCAAGAGTCTGGGAGAGTTTATACACATACAGAGAGACCTGTTGGATATATGCCAACAAGAAACCAACAATAGGCATTTTCCTGACAGCTGTTGAAGGCTCCCTTCTCTTTTTTAGTTGTGAATAAGAACAGGAAACAATCGGCTATCTGTCAGCTAAAGATATCTCATCACACAAAACAGACCAAGTTGCATGCAATTAGACCAAGACATGGTTAAACACCTTCTTTCACGCAATGTCACTATCACAACAAACACACAGTTCCAACCACTACATCACCCATCATGACCTGTTTGTTTATTTTATGTGCCATTATATTGCCAACAGTTTTTAGGGTTTTGTATTGAAATGAATGCAAATGAAAAAAAGTACATCGTCTGATGTGCAAGTTTAGGCTACTTTAAAGCTCATCTGGGGTCCAGCTGATTTGACCAAGAATAAAATGCGTTTGTGTAGTCTTTCTACGATCTTAATATGCTATCAGTGCATCACATAGCAAGTTAACAGGGGACTAGAAATGCTTGTGATAACTTAAAGTTGTATGCTTTTGCTATTAGCTTTATTTTCGGTAACTCTAAACGTGTGCCCTAATGAGGTGGTTGATCTGTGGTAGGCTGGTGACGAAGGAAAGGGTGTTTTATTAGAATAGAATAGAATAGAATAGAATAGATGTTTATTGCCATTTGCACAGGTACAGGACAGTACAGGTACATTGGAATTCTTGTGCGTTTCTCCCTGAGTCAGCTTCTACAAAAAAAAGTTTAAATTATATATAAAATAAAATAACATTATAAGGAAAAGTACAACAAAAGTAAAAGTAAAAATAAATAAGTTGTAGTAACAGCTAAGTGATTTAAAATAAACTGTACAGAAGTTATACACTGTATTAAAGCAAAGATATAATACAAAAAAATAACAAAGGGGAACACTGTACAATGAAATGAAAATATAAATATGTTTTCTTGTCTCTAACTTTCTACATCTCTTATTGCACACATATTTCTCACATGATATAATTGCACTGTTTTTTTGTTTTTAAGGTTAACATTGCACACTTGTATTGCACTGAGAGGTGGTCAGCTGTCCATTTAGTCTATTACTTTAGTTTAGGCCTTTTATTTATTGTAATGATCCATCTGTGCTCGTTGTCACGACCTGATACTGTACAAATCATTTTGGACTCTAGCAGGATATCCTTCTTTGTCAGACGCCTGTGGTCCCAGAGGGATGTGCTCTTCTCCTTCATCTGTCAGACTGCCACCGACAGCAGCATCAAAGAAACATTTAGTCACTAAAGGAGACATCTACGGCCCGTGAATTAGTCTGAATAATTGCTGAAAATGCCATCAGGCTCTGTCAGATTAGAGGAGGAGTGTGTATCCCTCCATCTAATGTTGCCACAGTAACGGCGCTCAAATCTCTTCCATCCTGCCGGCATGAAGCTGTCAGCCTCCCACAACACGTACACATAGCCTACACACAGGCCCGCAGGAATAAAATAAACGTTTACCTTGTTTATTAAAGAGCAACTCAGTCCTTTGTCTCTACATCACTGAACATAGCGGCAGGTGGAGGATTTCTTGCTCCTCTCAGCGACTATTTCGCCTTTTCCGTAGCTTGCTAGTTCCTTGGCAGGAGCTAACTCAGCGCAAGCACAAGGAGCCGTCATCTGATTGGCTGGCTTACATCCGCTTCGTCTTAACGCGAGCTCTTATTGGCTGCTGCTGCCCCAGCTGTCCCGCCCTCCGTGGGAGACATCTTTGTCGAGGGCAACGGGTTCAACGACTTAATTAGCTGGAGTGCTCCACCGTCAAAGCTTTTTGCCCTTTCCTGTTTTATGTGCTGCATACTGTCTCTGCAGGATTGTAAAAACGACAGCGAGGTTCCTGTTAATGATACGGTGTCGTTTCACGTTTCAATTTGGTGATTAGACACGCGTTTTGGCGAGTTTTATGGAACTTGATTTATAGCGCTAAAACAGCTGCACTGAGGTTTTGACAGTTTGTTAAATAACTTATGGATTCAAAGCCTGTAGAAGAATTCGTCCTGTAAAGCAAGGTGACCCAATTGATGCAATACTCTGTCGCCCTAATTTAGTTTTTACATGTAAACTAGGAAATGGATTGAGCAGTAGTCTGTTCAGGTGACTTAAGGGAAATTGCAAGAATTTTTGCGTTTCCATCTTTGGTGAGCTTTCTCATCATGAATTTTTTAAGTAGCAACATTTCTATGAAGTTGTTTTCTATCCATTTTAGGAGAAGGGAAGTTTTACCCTTACCCTTACCCTTTTTCTGTTATTTAATAACAGAATAAAGGGATGATCTTTTCCCCACATTTCTCTGACACAGGCCTGCACACAAAGTAGCCTAACATTAATGGTTGTATCTAACATCATGTAAAATAGGGTTATTCTGGGAATTAGTAGCCGATAGTTACAATGTTACGTCTATTTCAGTCAAATTAAGCACACATACATTTTATTGTTAAATCAAAGCATTGTTCAATTTGACTGCTTAAAAGCCAAAATGGTACTAAATGAATGGCTGTTGGGAGCCGAAAGTCAGCCCTTATTATTATTGCCGTGCTTAGACAAATGACCCGGATCACTCAAAAGAGCTCAAAGTCCCATCACTACTTGGCATGGCACAAAGTTGAGGTTGGGCTAGGTTACTCCATTAGTGTTAAATGGACAAGCAGAATTTTACCAGGCATTTCTTGGTAGCTTGCAACTTTAGGCAAACATAATCGTCCATGTACATTTTTGTCTTTGGTTCTGCACACATATTGGGAACAACTGATTTGGAGCATATTGAGAATACACAAAGGTTTTCTATTGCAAGGCTGATCATTTTCTATCAAAAGTTGAAGAAATGATGACTAATGCATTGTTTTTTTTTTCATCTGTATCACCTGATATTGTCCCTGTTGATGGACATCGGCCCATCGGAAAATAATGTGGCATGAACCGATGTCAGTAGCCATTGTTCATCTGTTGTGTCATATCAAATCAATGCTGGCACCATAACTACTGATTCAGAGAGACATTTTTTTATTGGGTAGAGGAATCCCCTGTTGGACAAAATTCAGATCTGATTTCATGGTCAGATATGAGAGATAATGATGGCATTGTAGGATTCTTACACCAAAATAAAAAATGAAAAAACATTAAATTACTAAATATTATTATTATTAGATATTAGTATTTTAAACATCAGTATTAGTATCGTCACTGATTTTCACAATCAACCATATTATTCGACCCTGTAGGCTTGCCCCGGCCATAAATTCACATTAGTGAGGTCATGACATTTTCACTTTATCACAGCAATAGGGCTCAAAAAAGGTTTTTGTTTTCATTCATAAGGCGAGAAAAAAATACCTTTTAGTTCTGCTCTTCCATTCAACCTCATGCCCCGATCACCCTGAATTTACCCTGCTTTAAAATGAAGAAATGGACATTAATTAATTAAACTGATTAATCCATGTCTATCAATATCAGTAGTTTACACCGTAAGCTCCTTAATCAAGATTTCAAACATGCAATATTCATTTCAGAACACTGAAGATCTCATCACTGTTGTGTTTTTTACCAAACATGCAATGCAATTATATGTCAAAGATACAGTCTTGGCTCAGGGTTTTATCTGCTGATTCCATATATAAAGAGTCAAAATTATGTTAAATGTGTTCTTTACCAACCCTGGGAACAAATTCCTCTCATATTTCCTTTTTTTTTTATCTTCAATAACAGCTATTTTAGGATGATCATGTGTTCCTTCCTGGCAACTGCTCATATAATGCTTGGTTTCATTGAATTGTTGGGAAAGCACTTTTACAAACAGAGTACAATCCCCTATCTAAACCACATTTTGGAAGTCACATCTTGGAAACAGGCCATAAAAAAGATAATGTAGCTTTGGATATTATCTCCAGTGTCAGTGTTTCCATTACACACTATCTATTGGAACCCCTCTTATAGAAGTGATCATCTGTAATTATTAGTTTATGAGTTGTTTTGTTCAACAAAGTAATAACTAATGGCTATTTAAAATCAAATGAGATTACTTTCAACTAAATTAACACTAATGAATGATGGGGGGGGGGGGGGGTCCTGAAGAATTTTGGGGAAAATTATCTTGTAGCCTATATGGCACTCAAGATGGTTGACTGAAACAGCCAAATAGTTAATCTTGGATTTCTTTGTTTAGGAACAGTCAGTAAGGAAAGGTAGGACCTCGCCTATCCATTAAACAGAACCTGGATTAACTATTTAATTGACCAAAGAAGAATATTAAGTCATAGCCTAACTGTATTGACTGTTTCAATTGTAAACATTGTAAGCACATGAGCATCTTTACACTGAAGGCTTTTTAAATTGTTAAATAAAGTGAGCCTATACTTTTTGTATAATTTTTGATAACATGGCCCCTGTGTTTGCATAGCCCTTCTAGCCTACAGTTATACTGCTGCACTGAAACATATATCCGCTAATTGAAACAATGCAGCTTCTTTATGCACATTTTAAATCCGCTGCATACCAGCGCCCTTTGACACACTTAGCTTTGAGCCATGGCAAATTTGGATCACAGGCGCCATGTGCTGTACCCCATACAACATTAAACAGACAAACATCCCGTTAAACCTCCAATGACAGCACATCCTCGAGCAGAGATGCTGGGAGGGGATGAAGGAGGAGGGGGGAGGAGGAGGAGGAGGAGGAGGGGGCGCTTTTGGTGGGTGGGACGAATGAGCGCTATAGAAAGGGGGATGCTGCAGCCCCGTCCCCTTCATATCTCACTCCACCCAGCCCTAGAATAAAAAAGCACCGGTGACGTGCGCGCAGGGAAGCATCCAGCAGTATGTGCGCGCCCACGGGAGGGGCCGATAGAAAATGGCGAGTCTGTGCAAAAGGCAGCAATGCACGATAGAGAGGCGCGGCTTTCGGCAGGAACTTGACTCTTGGAGGCACAAACTCATTCACTGTGTAGGTAAGCTCTCTTGGCATTGTGTGTGTACGCGTGTGAGTCGTGGTCCGGAGCGGCCGGAGCGTGCCGGTCCCTGTGTTTGTGTATGTTTTTGTTTTTTTATCTGTAGGACCAGAGACCTGCGACTGTAATGTCCACTGAAACCTATAGGCTCTCATGAAGCTGTCATTTTTTTTTGCACCGCGCTGCTGTTGCCTGGCGCTGCTTGCCTCCCACCGGACGCAGCCAAAAAGATTCAGCTCTCAAGTTTCTGAACTCCAGCACTGCTTTATCGCCGGGTGCTTTACCTGCCAAAGAGTCTGTATGTGCTGTGTTACTGCTGAGTTTAGTTTTATTCAAAGTATGTGTGCTTTCGAGGACTTTTTTTTTATATACATTATTCCATGGCTGTTTATTTATTGTAAGCAGGGAGTGTCACGTGTGTAGACGGAGCTGCGCCTCAGCCAATCACATCCCCCTCTATAGGCAGGCCCGTGCCCGCTTGCGCGTAACCTGGGTTGAGTTTTTGGTCGAGGGGGGGAGGGCGGTGCGCGCACTCAGTCTCCAAACATGCCTCCCCCCGCCTCCTCTTCCTTTACTTCCCTGGAAATCGGCTTTTGAGAGCGCGCATTGCTGCATTGGGGGAAATGTCAGTGGAAATAATTTTGTATTTTAGGGGGTGGGGGGGGAGGTGTACAGACGAGGAGGGGTCGACAGGGAGAAAAGCCTGTAAACCGGGTTTGGTATAGGCCTACTTGTTGACATGGTCGCTGCTATGGATTTGGAAAAGTCTGCGGGTGGACATTTGTCCGGTGTAGTTTTGCATAAAGACATATTTGTTAGGCCATGTGATGAGATTATTATTACAGTACGTGATCTCTGTGTCACTGCACAATCAAAAGCAGCGCATGTCAGTCTTTGTCCTCCTTGTAAAAGACCACTTTGTTACCTCTCATCGCTTTCCACATTAGTTCATGTCGGCTTTTTATTTTGGATTTTCTTATCTATACATCTAACCCACCATTCAACCACACCCCCCTCCTCCCAATCCTCCATTTCTGGTGTATTTCATTAGCTCACTTTAATCCGGTTACACTGACCTATCCCGATGTTATAGCAAAGATTATCATCCACTCTTCGCCTCTCATCTCCTAACCTCTACGGGTCTCCTCGACTTTCTGCCCGGCTCCTAATCTGGCTTTTATCGGCTGTGTAAAGCGGAGCATCTCAGCGGCAGCAGCAGCAGCAGCAGCAATGGTGGAGCTGGTGGAGATGTTCGGGGCTGTTTTTGGACGCACTTGTTTGTCCAGATGTTGAGCACTGACCTGTCACCTACTTACCCATCCGAGCGTTTTATAATAACTCACATGGCCTGATTCCAGCGCAGGCAAGCGGGGCTTTTTAGAAAGCAAACCTCCTAATGAGGGGATGTAGTGTTGAATTAAAAGGCTGGTAATCTCTGACCTCTGGATGGTGTGATCAGCATTGAGCCATAAGGATCACAAGCAGAAAATGTAAACAAAAGGCGTCTCCTCCATAATGCACTTCTATTATTGTCGTTTTTTTTTTTTTTGAGATTATTGCACAGAATGTGTTAACCTATTTTCTAGCTCCATCTATTGAATTCAGCCGGCTTTTTAAAAAAAATGCTTTTAGAGTCTAATTAGT